GGGGGGGGGGTTGTTGTAAATACTCCCATAGCACTTTCTGAGCTAGCTCACTTTTCTGCTTTCTCTCCTCTCTTGTTTAATGTGATAATTCCCATCTTGTGAGCTCTTTGATGCCTTTAAGAAGTTTTACAAGTGTATTTTTATCCAACATTTTAAACTGTTCTCAATGGGAAGATTGATTCAGATCGTCTAGTCTGTTATTCCTAGAAATTGGTGCAGCTCTGTAGTTTAGTTTTGTGAAAATAGGTTGAAATTTCTACGCAACATTTTGTCCATATTCCAGGAGACAGGATGGTATTCACAACTCTGTAAAGCATAGTTGCTTCTCGCTTGTGTTTCTCTGGTGTCTAACACTTCCCTGGGTGGTCCCTCTACTTTCAAGTGTAGTCTAGCAGTGATTAAGAGCGTGAGTTCTGGGGCCAAGCTGCTTGGATTTTGTTATGGGCTAACTGTTTATGCAATCCTCCCAAATTCATATCTTGAAGTCCTGAACCCCAGTGTAGTGGTACTGAGAGAGGGGAGGCCATTGGGAGGTAATCAGGTTTAGATGGGGGCCGTAGGATGGGGACCTATGACGGGATTAGCATCCTTATAAGAAGAGAAAGAAAACCCAGAGCTCTCTGCAATCCAGGAAGAGAGCCTTCACCACTTCCAGCCTCCAGAGCTCTGAGAATTAAATTCTTGTGTTTTTAAACCACCCAATCTGTGATGCTTGGTGTGGCAATTCCAAAACAGATCGGAATCCAGCTCTGCCACTGGTGAGCTGAGTAAACCTGGGCAGATTTCTTCATGCCTCCGTCCCTCAGTTTCCTCGTGCGTAAAAAGGGCTGTCAGATGAGGGATTTGGACGCATGTGCACGCATACAGATAAATGCACATGTCATATGACATACTCAGTCAACATCAGTTGTCCTCACCTGCCTGAGCTTTTTAGGAATTGAGCTGCATTTATAGGCTGAAGCCCTGAGCTTGGCCAGCCCTTGAGGAGGGAAACCCTGAGGGTTTTCTTCCTCCATTCCTCACTCTGACCAGGCTCTGCTGGACACCTCCACCGGGTGACAGTGGAAACAGCAGAATGCAGGAGCTGTTCCTTCCGACGGAGTTGAAGAGTGAGACGAGAAGGGAAATGTGGGAGTTTAAGTTCAAGGGGAATGGATCTGAGGCAGGTTTGCTTGCTTGGGCTTTCTGTCAGTGCTCCTGAAATGCTGAGTTAGCACCGGGCTGTGCCCACTTCAGTTTTCTGAATGGTAATAAATATGTGAGTTATTTCTATTAGCAGCTCTGAGAAGTTGAGCCTGGCTACCTCTTTGGACCAGGCTTTATCTACAAGGAGAGCAATTTGTTTGGTTTCTTAATCCTTGTCTCTGTGTCGTGGGAGTCAGCCGCATTCCACATTTGCCACTGGTGGCTCTGGGTGGCATGTGACGGGACTGGTGAGGAGTTTGGCTTTGTTGGTGAAATGCATGTTGGTGAGGGCCGTGAGTGGGCTTGAGTAGAGACAGGGACAGATGCTTGTAGGTATTGCTTTGACGTTATTTTCCTGACACTTAAACTAGTTTCTAGCTATGAGTGTAAAGTATAAGAATAGTATAAAAGCCTGTAAATACCCCTTTCTGAACCGCAGCAACGCTGAAGTTCA